CCTGTGGCTCGCAGCTCGGTAGGTGAGGTTAGGGGTGTCGTCTGGCCGGCATCCCGGGTAAACACCGCACTCTTGTTTAAACCCAGCTGCGACTTCCACGCTGGGCGACCGGCGCGCAATGGTCTCGCGTCCTTTCTCACGCAGAGAGCTTGCCCTCCGAGTACTTCGTGAAGGCAGATGTGGCACGTCTGCTGCACTGTAGCCTGCAGCAGGCCCAGTTCTTCTCTGCTACTCGGGCGTGGAGCCAAAGCAAACACAAGCTGCGTTTATATTGAGATACCTCCGTTAAATCTGGCTTTTGTATTAAACTTTTCTAGGATTAAATAAAAACTTACTTTGTGTAGTTAAAAGAAAACTAGAAATATAATCTAGTTTAAGAAGTTCGGGGAAAAATGTATTTGCAAATCCAGCTGACCTGTCAGGTCTGAAGGGAAAGGGCAGCAGCAAGAACAGGCTTGTGAGAATGTCCCCGTTACAGTGTCACGGTGCGGGCATGTTCTCACAGAATAGTAACGTCGTGGTGGTTGTTTAGCCGTTTGCCATCTGCTTTGCTGTTCCTAGCCTCACCGTCTCATGTGCAAAAAGAGATTTGGTTTCTACAAAATGTCATGTGTGTGCTCGACTTGCATGTTTTGCTCGTGTTTGTCAGCAACCCTTCCAAGTGTGAGTGAAAACATGCCAGCCACAGACTTCCCAGTGTTTTTAGCGCTAGTGAAGCCTTTTTTCCTGTGCATATTTCCCGTGTGCTGTAATGCTCCTGGTCAGCGCCTCTTCCTGCTGCTGTTCCCCAGCAGCACACCCACAAGGTGCTCTGAGCTCCTGCAGCATCCCAGCTCCTGCCGTGTCCCTAGCACGGCCTGGGCACGCGGCCGCGTGGGTGGAGCAGGACATCTGCTCCCCGGTTTGCTGGCTTTGCCTTGCAGCGTGGAGAAGGTGCGGACTCTGCCCTGCTTTTCCCTGGGGGACAGACATGAACCTGTGTCGCTTTTTTGTTATCAGTTGCTGTTGCTCACAGAACTGGTGGGGCTCTCCCGTACCCGACCTCATCCCCCTCTGACAAATTGGGCAGGAATTTCAGAGCTAGCGAGGGGAACAGTGACAGGCTGTGCTAATGTTTTGATGCAATAGGATGTGAACTGAAGGCTAAAATGACTGAGAAATGTAGTGACTGAGAGAAACGACCGTATCTGACATGGATTCTAGTCTTCCATGTGGAGCCAAACAACTTTGCACATCCTACAGTAAAATCACGAAGGCCGTTGGTGTTTGGGGGTATGCTGGGGCAATCCCATCCTTGGGGAGGCTAGAAAAAAAGACGCGAGCAGAAGTGAATTTTATTTAAAGCAGGAATCAGCATTGTCCAGCTGCAATACTTACAGTTGCATTGGCCCTATGGACAAATGGGAACGACCACTTCACTGCTGCTCTGAAAGAACGCAGAATCATTTGTACTATGTGTGAGAGATGGTTTGCGGTTTGGAGTTGGCGTGAGCACTGGCTACTGGTAGCACTTGTTTCTGGGTAGGGGAGGGCCTGGGGCACTGAGAGTGGCTGTAACAGTCTTAAAGCGTAAACAGTTCTTTAAACTTTTGTTCCAGTTAATTTTTATAGAATTGAATCTTTAGTAAAGAAGGGGGCTTAGATACTTGTTCGCCTCTGCAGTTAGCCCATTGGAGGGCAAAGCCATGGATTTCATTTGGAAGCAGAGAAGTCCAGGGTGCGTGATGCCATAAGCTGCTTTCATCTCCTCCGGGTACAATATCTTACACTTTGAATGGAAAACTGTGTGTTCAGTGTGTTAAATTTTCACCTGTTAATTGTATGATGCTTTAAAAAAAAAGGAAACGTAGTAAATGCCAAAAACTTTCTTGTGCTTTATCTCCTCAGGACGAGTTTTTAGATGTGATCTACTGGTTCCGGCAGATCATTGCAGTTATTTTGGGAATCATCTGGGGAGTAGTTCCACTGAAGGGATTCGTGGGAATAGCAGTGTAAGGTTTATTTCCTTTTCTGTCTCATGTACTTTCCCACGTTTGGACTCTACTTGGTGTCTAGTTTAAAGTTGTGCTATAAACAAACGCAGTCTCTGTCTGCCATGCGTCTTAAAGCCAGCGTTGCGTTCCAGACTGTTATTTGTCATGAAATTCATACAAATCGTAACATGTCTTCATCAGCCTCTTTTTCTCTCCTCAGCCTGATTAATGCTTTTTAAAATTATTATTTATTTTATTATTATTAAAGGGGGCAGGGGTAGAAGAAGGGAGCGAGAGGTTCAATTGACTTGTGAAGCGGCCTGTTCCTGCATGTGTGAATAGGGGCTATGAGTAAGGTGGCCACACTAGGCACCAAAGAAGTAAGGCCCATAGAGGGGAAGGTGTCCTTCTCTTTGACTCTTCTCTCAAAGAGTCCTTCTCTTTGAGTCAGGAGCCCTCCTCAGAGCGGAGAGGAGGTTCTGTTAGGAGACAAGAGGGGCAGCTTCCCTTTGAAAAAGAAAAGGTTTCTTCAAAACACCAAAGACTGTAGGTAACGAGCAGGCAAAGTGGCACTGTTGGCAGTGCTCCTGCAGCACGCCCAGCGTGCTGAAGTTGTTCTTTCAGCCATGGTGTGGGGGGAAGGCAGTGCCTAGAAGGGTATGTACGCATCGGATCCCCACCGAGACACGGGATTTGGGTCATTTCCCAGCAGGTGTCCAAAGGCTGCAGTGAGCACTCTGAGTTATGAAATGAAAATTTGTTTGGCCCTGGCACGTGCCTGAAGGCCTCTGGAGGGACCACGAGAGATGGGAAACACAGCCCTGCTCTCTGAACACTGGGTGTGGAAAGATGCTGTGTCTGCTCTGGGGAGTCTCCGTTTGCAAATGTCTCTGCCTAGTCAAGGTCTCCTAGTCAAACTCACAACCTCACAGCTTTTCTTAGGCAAAATTGACTTGTCATCTTGTCCCTCCTCCTGAGTGTCCTGGCTGTGGTAAGAAAGTGGAGGGAGTAGGAGCAAGTGTCTCTAAGGGGGGGAAAAAAAAAGTTTGAAATTTAGGGAAAAGGGGTTGTAAAGCAGCGATGCTCCAACAGGAACTTGGTAACTACATGCAAACAGTTAAATCTAAAGTGCTCCCAGTAACATGTGGAGTAGCTGAGAAGCATTGTTCTTACTTAGTCATCCATTAATTCACAAGGCACCTTCAGGCACCTTAAGCCAATTCCTGTGCTAAATGTTAATAAGAAATAAAAGTGATTTGGTGTACAGTGGAAAAACAAAAAGCTTCTAGAACTGTGTGCGTGGTTTCTCTGTGGTATACAGTTGCACAGCTGCTCACAGCTTGCTGCCAGTCACTGAACTTGTGTGTATGTCTTCCCGTATTGCCCTTTCTACACAGCCTTCTTTCCAGGAAATGTACCTGTCACTTCCCAGGTTGCCCCAGCCCTGAGTTGGGGTGGTGTAAAGCCAAATGTGTCTAAGGACAAACAGGAGGTCACATTTTTTCTCTCTGTTGCAGCGTAACTGTTGGCACAGACTAGAGAGCGCCAAGAGTTGTCTCAAGTTGAATCCCAGTGCTATGGCTCTGAGGGCGCTATCGAGTCTTCTCTGGCTCTCATCTCTAAGTCACTGTGTTTGGTCATGGGAAGTTAACAGGGATCTAACACTGAGCATAGAGTCTAACAGTCTTCCCTCTTAGCAGCCTCAAAATCAAGTAGCACACACAAGGAAATTGGATTCTGTGTGGGAGCAGGACTGCTGCTGATCTGCAGGATAGGAAAACTTGCAGGGTTTGCAGATCTGTTGATACTTGCAGCTTTTGACTACTGTCTATGGAGCCTTACTGGGAGCAGGTTGTGCCTTGTGAGGTGAACTTCATCCAAACCTAGCGTGCTATGGCAAGCTGACCTGGAGGTGCTCTTTTAAGGAAGTGACTGAGCTGCCTGGGAAGCGTTGCAGGAACAGTATCCCTCTCTGCTTCCTCTCTGCTGCGGATGAAAGACATTTCACTGCTACGTTGCTGTACGGCATGTTGGATACCTGCACCCTGTATCACCGAAATGACGGTTCCTACTCTCTTTCTTCCAGATTCTGCCTGATCAATGCTGGTGTTCTGTACCTCTACTTCAGTAGCTTCCAGCAGATAGATGAGGAGGAGTATGGCGGGACATGGGAGCTAACAAAGGAAGGATTCATGACATCTTTTGCACTGTTTCTGGTAATGCCTCTTGCTTTCTTTAAGTTGATTAGTGAATTGTGTTGGTACGCTTTCTGAGGGGAAAAGACCTGGAAGAAAAGCAGGTGAGGTGGTGCGCTGATAGTGTTATCATCTAGTAAGTGGAGTTGATTGGGAAAGAAAATCCCAAAATCTAATGGCGGCTGGCTATGAAATACAGTATTAATGCCTGGGATTTCTCTGTAGGAAAGGATGTAGGAACAGGCAGCTATACTTCTGCATCTACCACTTAACTTTTATGTCTTCCCATCCTCTGTCCCAGATACCTGGTGGAGTTTCATCTAGAGCTAGTTACACCCAAACTGGTGTTTTAGGTGTCTTTGTTTTTCCCTTACTCCCCTCCCCCAAGGCTCTGAATATGCTCAGCACTTGGTTTGGTGGTGTTTCTAAATCACTGGCGGGACTGTGGTGGGATTTTAATGTGGAGAGGCTAGTCACCCCAGAAGGCAAGCAAGTTGAATGCCACCGTTTGTGGCGCGTGGTGATCCTAACATCTCTCCGAGACCATCTCAAAGCTGGAATTCAGTCCCCAGTCCTCTATTGAGAGCAAGGTGTGAGGCTTGTTTTCTGTGTCTGAACCCCCTCCAGGGGCATCAAAATAACCTTCGCTTCCTTTCCTCTCCGCAGGTTGTTTGGATAATCTTCTATACTGCCATCCACTATGATTGACACAGTCTGCAGCTTTCGCCTGTTAAATCAGTTGTCAGTAAATCAAGAAGGTTTTAATAAATCATAGTCTTTAGTGGACTGGTGGGAAGGTGGGGGAAGTCAAATCAACTCCCTTCTGTACCAGTGGTCCGATTAGCCTGGAAGAGCCCCAACTCTTCTGCTGGAGAAGTCCGTCTCCGTTTTATATACCCATTAATTGTTGGAACTATTAAAAAGCCATTGGAATTTTTGGAAGTGGTTCAAGACTGTTCAAATTTGGAACTTTCTGTGACTCTAGCCAGTAACTCTATCAAAATCCTGTGTGCTGAAGGTTGAATCTGTTAATTTAATGTATGTATGCCCTTCTGTTTGAAATCTGTCATTAAATCCTGACTTGTCTTCCATTGTTGTCCTTTAGACACACAGTTTTTAAAAAGCAGTTGTAGGGTACGTGGGAGGAAGGCACTGCAGCATCCGTATGAGTTGAGTGGCGGTCCTTAGCATGTTTTTGTAGTAATCAGATCTGATTTGATTAAACAGACTGTGTTGTTACCATTTCTAGTATTTTTTGTTTTACTTGAAAATCAGTTGTTGACCAGAATTTTTAAATGGTCTTTGCCGAAGACAAATTTTTAAGCCATTTTGCTAGAAAGAATTGTGATTCATTTGGTTAACGAAGGTGTATTCAGGAGGCTTAGAAACTCCGCTGCATTCTGCAACCCTGACTGCTAGGTTGCCATTGCATACCTCAGAGCTTAGTAGTCTTGAAGGACAGTCATTCTGGAGATACCCTTTTAAATGTTAAGCATTTAAATTTTTTTTTTAAGCTCTTGAATTAACTGCTCCTTGTTAATAAATGCAGGAGACTAAGACACAATTGAGGCAGCTATTATCTTAAGTGCAGAATTACTGACTTGCAAATCAGGCAAAGTACATAGGCTCTGGTTTGTGAGGTCCGTTTTATGAGTTGATCACTTCATAGCTCAGTTCCTCCCTAGTCATATCCTTTTTGTGCATCAATGGGGGAGTCTCTGCTTTAAGATATTTTTAAGGATGCATCTTTCAGAAATAGTTCTTGGGAAACACGCACAGTCCTTGTTATTGTCAGGGGACCTTGTAGTCTTGTTGCCATGTGGTCCTTGCTTTTCTAAACAACAGCTCAGGCACCCAAAAAGAGTCCTGACCTAAAGCTGCCTTACAGTGAGGAGTTGATAGTTTTAGTGTGTTCTTGCTGAAAGTCTGCGTTGCTTCCTTGCTGATGGAAGTCCAACAGCCTGGTTCTCACATGTGAGTATGCAAAGCCAAGGATCTAAATCTCTAAGTGCTGAGCTAGGGCTCCAGAATCGCCCACCGGTGCAGGCCTCCATTCTTACCATGGAAAATGCTGTCTGTTCTTGGTGGAAAAAACACACCTGGCTATTTTAGGCCCTTGGGATGCCAAGGGGAGAGTGCAATAGCAGACAGCTTCTGCTACTTGTGAGTTGCCAATTTAAGTAAGTGATCTCAAATAAAAACTTCTATATTTTCTCCTCCCCATCCCCAAACTTGCTCAGTCTTTTAGTCTGATACTTTCTTTTCCTCTTCTTTCAGCTGAAAGCATTAATTTCCCACAAGAATTGCATAGCCTGCTAGTTCTAGGTCACCCTTTCCCACTGGCATCTGTTTGCATCTTAGCTGCTCACAGCCATCAGTAAAATCATTGTATACTTGAAATGCTCTAATAAACGTCGCCTGGATAATCCACTGTGCTGCTTCTGTATCCTCTGGTCTTCAAGCTGTGTAAAATGGTGGGAGTGTGGGACTCCTTTAAGAGTTCAATTTTTGGTAAATATCTAAGCCAGCAGCTCTTTGGGATTCTCAGGTCTCTTGTGCTGCAGGCTTGAGTCCTGCGCTTGTAGAAGGGGCCAGAAGCATTTGTAGTGGAAGTAGTAGCTAATGCTTAGATCCATGCTTTAATGGGTGATTAAGCAGGTTAAGCCAAGTGTTGCCTCTATGTAAGCTGGTCTGCTCCTTCAGCAGCTGTCCCTGCCCCGTGACACGCAATCATGGCAGAGCCACGACTGTGTGGCAGAGTGCCCAAGTCTGGTCCAGAGCAGGACTTCCAGCACTGCTGTAAAACGTGCAGAGTGAGAGAGTGCAGAGCTGGAGAGTCGCTTACCTGCCCCTTTGCTTTATTCCTCGCTTGCCTGCAGTCCCACCAGCTGAGTTTCTTCGTCTTTGCAGTTCTCTACAGGTCTAGTGGCTGGAAGCTGAGGCAGAACCTGAGTTGAGGAGGATCCTCTGTTGAGGAGGATCATGACCATGCGGAAGAGACGTTGGTCTCTGGATCTCTGCAAGGCTCCTGGTAAATAACGTAGTGATTGCAGTTGCTCAGCTGCAAGCTTTTAATCTCTCAAGGTTTCTGTTTTAAGGGGTGCCTCAATGGCTAGAAGCAGGTATCCCCAGTGCTGATCACCAAGAGAACTAAGGCTATGGCATCTGCCCCCAAAGAAATTGGGTTAATTTTAAGAAGCTCAAGGGGATGTGGCAGCCTGTAGAATGGAGCTGAGCATCTTACAATGATGAGAACTGTAAAAACAAGGGGTTTGTGCAGAGACTTGAGATTGACACAGGGGTGGTCTAGCAGAGCGCATGAAGTTGAGTGCTAGGAGGGCAGAAAAGCAGCAGCTGACAGGATAGGGACTGCAGTGGGGGGAACAGGGGCTTGGGCAGCACCTCTGTCCTCAGCAGTTTTGGTATTGGCACAATGAGCATGCTTGCTCTGCACTCTCCTCTCCACAAAGGGCAGGGGACTAAACCAACGGCTGGTGTGGGGTCTATGCTCCCATGGAGCAGCGACTCAGGGAGAAAAAGGTCTTTCCTGTGCTGGAGAGCGGAGCTGTGGGAGCCACAGCTGTCGGGATGCTGTTCCACCGAGAGGCTGCATCCCTATGGGGTCTACATGATGGCGCAGAGAAGAGGCTGTACTGTCGGCGGGCTCTGTGAAGCTCACTGCTAGCTGCAGACCTGGAGGAACATCACTTTGGCTTTCAGCAAAAAGAAGCCAGTCCCTGGCAGGAAGGAGAGCGAGATATTCCCTGGCCTAACCTCATTGTGAGGAGAGGAGCAAGCGTGTTCTGGTGCGGAACTGGCAGAGAAATTTCTTGTGGTCTTTCTTGGGCTTCAAGCATAGTATCTGTTAAAACTTTAATGCAAGTTATTTTTGGTGTCAAAGGGAAAAATGGTGTGGGTGCAAAGATGTGCTAACAGGTGTTGGGAGGTGGCTGTGCGGCTAGGCGTCTTGTGTCTTGGCAGCATCAGACCCCAGCTAAAACAGCTGCTGCCCGCTGCAGGGTAGCTCTGCAGCGGCGATGGCTGAGCATGCAGCATGATGTATATGTTACCTGTGGTTTTGGTCCAGCAAGGGAATGTTGCTGATGTCACTTGTCTTTAACAGTGCTTGGGATGTCCTTAAAATGATTGGTGCCTGTTGGGGCTGGGAGCATGCCACTGAAGAGCCCCTGTCCCCTCCGTCAGCTGCTGCCCGCTGCAGGGTAGCTCTGCAGCGGCGATGGCTGAGCATGCAGCATGATGTATATGTTACCTGTGGTTTTGGTCCAGCAAGGGAATGTTGCTGATGTCACTTGTCTTTAACAGTGCTTGGGATGTCCTTAAAATGATTGGTGCCTGTTGGGGCTGGGAGCATGCCACTGAAGAGCCCCTGTCCCCTCTGCGAAGGTGTCATCATCTCTACGTTTCCCCAGCTTGATTTCCAAGCTTGCAAAGGAAAGCTTGTGCTCACAGTTGCTGGGATTCAGCTGCCCGCAGGTGACAGAGCTGATTAGCTTTGGTTTGTCAGAAACACAAGAGCGTTTGAAAACACAAGTAGAGGCTGGGTTGGTCTTGGGCAAGCAGGGTCTCGAAAACCCAAGAAGCGGGAAGTAGAGCTTTGTCTTCAAGCACTGTTAAGTCACGCGTATATCTGACAACTGGGGATAGTGTTTGTCCCAGAGACCTTCTGGGACAGCAGTGTCCCTGTCCACACTTTCTAGGGTGTTTCATTTCAAGGACATCTGTTAACACTCTGCCAGGCAAATGGGTGGAGGAGGATGCAGTATGCACAAAGCTCCTGGCCTTGGAGGAGCTGCTTTGGTAGGGAAGGGACCACCTCCAACTGCTGGGGATGGGAAGGCTGGAGAGATGTCTGAAAATGGAGCAGGCTGAGACTGGCTTGCAAAAGCCAAACTATCCTCCCAGGAGTATTTAGTTAGTAACTGGCAGTGCCCATTATGCCCTCAGGCTGTTGGAGGGCACTAGCAAAACCTTGCCACTGCCACAGCAAAGGAAGGTTTACATCTCCCTGCGTTAAGGAGCATGGAGTGAGCTAGTGGAGCTGCTGACGCAGGGAAGAGCAGGGGGCATTAGCTGGCTCGTTGGAGGATGAGGAAGTAGGACACGTACCTCTCAGGTGACTTGCCCAGAGCCAAACAGCCCAGCACTCAACACGCTCCGTCTCCCAAAACAACAGATGTCCAGGACAGATCAGGGCAGAGAATGGATTTTTCAGATCTGGCAGCTGAACAGCCAAGTGCCTGTGCCAAGCTGAGAGGGAGAGGCCGATGTCGTTGTGGGAGGAAGTAATTTGCACAACCCTGAAGCATTTTGTTCAGCCCAGAATGAAACAACCTCTTCCATCTTCCAGTTATTTTACTGGTGTTTTTTAGGTCATCCTCTGAAAGAAGCGTAAGGGGAAAAAATGGAATGTTTCAGCCAGTTTGATTTCAGAAATGTCCATGCAAACCAGGCTTCCCTCACTGTAGGTATTGCAATCAAAACTCTTTGCCAAATGGGAGCTGTTGGTAACCATAGCTCAGGTTTGCCCCAGGCATGGCTGGTTCTGTGGCTCCAGTTCGGGCTCTGCCTGCACCCACCTGGCTCCATGCTGGCCAGCTGTGCTGCCCGACAGCCTCAGTCTGTCCTGACACACATGCCGGTGCTGCTGGAGCCAGCAGCAGTGAGAGCCACTGGTGCCAGGGCTGAGCCTGGCCAGCTTCACCTGCAAACACCAACCAAAACCTGTTGTGCTGCGGGGAGGGACCACGATCTTCAGCTCTTATCTCCAGACGGGCATGCACGAGAGGTCCATGTTGGAAGGCCAAGGTGACAGTAAGAGAGAACACACCAAGCTGCTGCTCTGTGGCAATGTCACGGTGTCTCTTGCTGATGGTGTCCCACTGGGTGCTGGACTCCCCTTGCCACCGTGGTAATGGGTGAAACGGCGGCGTGTGACCCTCCCTGCTAGAGGCTGGCTTGAATAAGCGATGACACAAAGTACGTGCACGTCCCTTGGAAGACTCTTCCAGCCTTCTGGGGACAGGACTAAGGAATCTCCGATCCAGCCACCCTGGAGGCTTGGCCCGGAAAGCAGACGCCCCTGGTCTGAGGGGGGCCAGGGCTCACACACACACCCCCCCCGTCCTCTCCACCAGCTCTGACCCAGCCTGTGGAGCAGGGGGCGAGGGGGAGCTCAGACCCGCAGAGCTTCACCCGGCTGGGGCCCAGACCGACCCGGCCCTTCTCCTCCGCCCCGAGTCACGCTGCGCCTGACCCCC